TCCTTTCCGATACGTCTTATTTTATTTTGTTCGAGAGTACGGAGAAAAATCTAATACCGCGTCATTACAAATTATTTTCTTGAAAGTTTCAAATTTGCTTTCCCATTACTAGAAGAGAAATCTGTCGAATAAATAATTACTAATTACGGTCGTAATAGAAATGGTCGGTTTTGTTTGTTTTACTTTGTTACTCTAATCGCGTAACAAGACATGAAGACTGCATTGTAAGAAACCACCATGATCCCCCACTGTTTGGACGGAAATACACGTTTTGAAGCACCAGGAATCCGAATTGAACAAAATCTTGATGATGTCGATCGGTCTGTCCGTCTGTCGGTACCCTCATTGGTACACATATAAGGGCAGAATCGCAAGCGCAGGTGTGCGGGTGGTATCTAAACACGTTGCATTAGAAGTACTGAAGAGCTGAGGGTCGCAAGTCCTTAGCTCTCCCAAGCAAATCTTATACAAGACCAGATACAAGATAAAATATCGGCACTTCACACGACGAGTTTCATACTTTGACAGTTGAGAACTGAATAGGTATTTATTGTAAGAACTACATGCTATTTATATCCCAAAATTTCTTCCTTAATAACCTAGTTTCTTATATCTATTGTTAGTTGGGAACTGCTGATGCCTCGTCCTTGTCAAGAATGTCTTCCTGTTGTTTTGAATCCTTTGCGTTTTTGTTTCGTAGTGTTGTAACCGAAGTGTTTGGCGGCATTTCCTTATTTTTACTTCTAAACAAAATTATCCTTAACTTGGGGATTCGACTTCGGGCCGGCAACAAGTGCCGACGTACTTTTTAGCGAGCGCTGTTTAAGTAAAAAACTCGTAACTTTGAAACGCGAGGCGAGTACGGGCTCAAACGGAAATTGTCCTTATCAAGACACAAATAAAGCGCGGGGATCTAATTAAATTGTGAGGAGGTCAAGACAGTGTCAGGAATCTCCAACCAACAAGGGCGTAAAGATAAGTGCTAGAATTGATACTTGGTACCTAGAATTAAGGCTAAAATTAAATTGGATTAAAGGAGGAAAGATAGAATGGAGGGGCGAAGGCACGGAGGATAATTAACGCGATTGATTGGATCCCGAAAGGTAGCGCTCATACGCACTCGCAAATATACCTACCTCGAGGGGGCGAAACAAATTGGACCCTTACGAAGGAAAACATAAACTTGTCAATCGTTGAAAAACAAGTACCCTAATCCATAAATCAGACTCGTAAAGTGCCCACAGCTGAGGATACATCTTTGTATACATACGAGGGGAACCTTCAGGTTCCTAACAGCGCGTGTGGGGCCAGGGCTGGGTTGTTTTTTGTGCCTTCGTGTAGAGTTTCACACTTATCAAATAACTTTATTAGGTATATTGCTCAACAAGTGCCCGGGGAGTAACAATGTCAGAAACCACTACCACAGCGTGTCGAATGCAGTAAACATGATAGGGAAGGTAGAAGAAGAAGAATATCGCCGGAGACAAGGGTGCTGGGGGAATACGTGGAAGCGAGAGGAGCCGCCGTCCCTAACGAATATAGTCTGAATGTGGTATCCGCAAAGAGTGATACGCCAAGGAGGAGCGGAAATAACCAGGAAATAACCTAGAGAAAAGTGAGCTAATTGACGACGAATTAAGAAAAAAGGGAATAGATGTAGCCAGCCTACAGGAAACCAAACCAATAAGTGGGATGGCCGCAACAAGGAACTACGACTGGTGGATATGAGGAGGGAAGAAGGAGAGAACCAGCAGAAGCACAGCACTCGTAATCAGGAAACACCGAGGCATTGAGGTTGGGGAATTTGAAGAAAGAAGCGAGAGTATATCTATGGCCCAAAACAAGACGGGCATAGGAACGTAAAATCCTGTTTTTTCTGTTCCCGTTTGCGTGGGTTTTTAGGATAGTGTTTTACTCAAAAACTTCTGCGGGCATACGACCAACTATTCCCCAAAGTTTCATCGCAACAGGATGAGCAGTTTAGACACGCATAAGATAATTTTTATTTTACATAATAGCAGACCTATTGACATTGCCTAACATTTCCATATACTTCTCGGGTTCGATTCCCAGCCGATTCAGATTTTTTTTAATATTTTATGACTTAGCATTTCTACATTTCACTATAGATCGTTGGTATAGGATGTCTCATAGAGTGTTTCTAGTTTTTTTTATTAAAGGTAATGCAAGTGTTCATAAAAATCGGGTAAAATATGATAATAGGTACCGTTCATGTAGCTTTTCGAAAATAAGCCGAATGTTTAATTAGCGAATTATCCACGTTTTTTAATAATGTTAATGCTTTTAATCAAGTTTACATTCATAGCTAAATTTCTGGAAACTGTTTGTGACCATAACATTCAGTTCATTACAACTTTTATCATACAATCCTCCTTATAAACCGAAATAAACCGTGATCGCAGGGTTCAAGATATGCACAAGTTTATTTAGGTAATCTACCTGCTGTTCAAATTTCCTCTACAACTGAGTCGCTTCCAATCGGTTCAGCCAGAAATTGGAGTACAGACAGACAGACCTACAGGCAATTTCAGTGAAATTTTTTACCCCATTACAATAGTATCTTGCGGGCGGTAAAAAAAAGGTAGCTACTGAACTTATTAAAATTAAAGGAAACAAGTATTGATAGTAGAATCAGGCATACGTTTTCTGACAGTTTTTCAAGGTACTGTGCTGTACTCGGCTTTATAATTATACCGTGTGGAAACTTGCCACGGAGTATTTTCTCAAATATGGAGTTAGTTTGCGCATGTTCATTTTGTTTTGATAGTAAAAATCAAAGCACTATTGTTGGTTCTTATTCTCAAATGTCTTGCCTTTTTGTGTGAACTGTGCGATATGGAAAAACAAATGTGCAATATCAGTGAAAGAATGGTGCAATGTGTGCACTATTAATGCAACGTGTGCAACTTGTGCAATAGCTGTGCAATGTGCACAATATTGTGCAATATTAGGACAATATGTCCAATATTGCATATGAGGTACCTCTGATATTGAAGTGATTACCCCCTCGCCTCTGAACAACATGAAAGCACAGGTCCTGCTAATGGGAGGCGAGAATCTCGCTATGCAGTGCGGGATACAAAATATACGCAATCTACCTACTACGGTGCCTAGAGGACCACACATCCAAGACGACCGGAGAGCAGGAACCAAAATATCCCTTCTAGCAATCGACTTGGCGAAGGCCTTCGACCAAGTGAAGCATGAAGCAATAGTCACTTCTCTGACGCTGCTGGGACTGCCCAAATATAAACGCGTGCCTAAGGGAGTATACTAGTATACAATGGTTTGGGAAGAAGATCGAGCACCAAATGAAAACCAGAGGAATCAAACAAGGTCTCCCCAAGGCTCTTCGCACTGGATAACGCCGTAGAGCAAACAAGGAGGGTGGAGAGGAACTTCAGCGCCAATGGCCAATTACAATTACCGACTCTATTATCGTACGCGGGCGACCTACGCATTCAGAGTCACACACGGAATCCGGAACTTCGTACGAGAGAAGAGAATACCGGCCAGCTTGAAAATGGAAAAAAAACACGATCATAGCTCCGACAAACCTCAGCGGAAAGTACTAAAGATACTGATGGAAAGCAGCAACCTCACGAGAAAGGGAGACTGAAGATGAGGCAGCTGAGCTATTGGGGGCATATAAACACGAGGATCCCCATAGAGAGATGGGGGAAGAGTGGAACAGAGACAAACACCAAATGAAGAAAGCAGACGAGTACTTGAGATGGAGGAAGAATCAAACATAAGCACAAGCAGCTAAGAAGAGGGGAGGAGGAGGAGGAGGAGGAGGAGACAGAAAAGGAGGACGACAATAAGAAAGGGAGACACGAGGAAACGAGATCAAAGGATGGGGGCGTCGGAAACTAATGCAGATATTCCAGTGGCGAAGCTGTGGCCGAACCTTTCGGATCGGACAACACCCAGTTAGCCCCCCCCCCCACAACCTCCCCAATCTACGAAATCCACCATATTGTTTGGCATATGTCGCGGTCCGGCGCAATGGCAACAAAAGTGGTGGAGAGATTCTACTAGGGAAGGGACACATCCCCACGACAGTTGGCCAAGTTCTGGGGGAGGCGGCTACGCCAGGCATATGCCAAAGTATCAAGTAATTCAGTACTTTTTGGTAATCTTCTCCAATTGTACAAACATCTACTTTTTGTAGTATCACACGCATCCATTTTTACTCATGGTTTACCCCTCGGAACTGTATTAGGCAAATTTCTGTAAAAAAAAAATAGTTCCCAAACTTTCAGATATGAACGGTGCAGTACCTAATCTCAGTACCTAATGGTATCATTAAAAGGTAACCCCGCCACAATTACTTGCAGTTGGATCTTAAATCTTTTCGCACAAGATAAATCTCATTGTGGCATAATTTAATTAAACATTGTAAGTGCGAAGCATAAATTGTAAATCAGATATAAATTATTAGCGTGTGCCACTATAAATTAACAAGTGGTTGTAAATTAACACCAGATCTTTGTTAATTATGTGGAGATTAGAAGTTAAACCACCTATATCACATCTAATTTGGTGCAGTTTCCAATGTCACTAAGCACATTTTATTCGCAACGGCACGGGAGATTGGCGAAAATGAAAAATATGCAGAACACAATGCGTGAGTGACATTCTACACCTTTTCCATCATGTTTGCGAATGTTAAGTTCATTATTCAAAAATATCCATTGCCGTGACTGCAAAGAAAGCGTGATCTAATACGAAACAGCGAAAGCTAGAAGGGGATTATTTCTCACGTCACTTCAGAAGATGTCTAATTGACATTTCTGCAGTGTCTCACAGAAATGGTCCGAGCTTGGGATGGCAGCCAATACGTGTTTCTTTTGCAAACTCAGTTTTCGTGTGTTCCAAAGACGATTGATAGGTGAATTTTTATCCAAAAAAAGACTACGTGGAGTGAATGAGTTGTTCAAAGCGAGAGAGGGAAATTGCAACATGCAACAATTTACCTTCTAATTCGACGACTTTTCCGGCCCTTTTCAGTGCCTTAACCGCTTCATCGTGGGTCGCCTCCCTTAAATCTTCCCCGTTGACGGAAAGGATGGCGTCACCTACGTATAATTGTTCGGTTTGATCCGCCGCCATCCCCTTGAATATTTTACTAATAAGTATGGGCATCTTGTTCTCTTTACCGCCTTTAATTGAAATACCGAGTCCATTATTATCCGATTTGACGACACGCACTAAACGTTTCTGATTTGCCACCGAATCCGGCACGTCCGGCGTGTCACTAAGTCCGCTGGGGGTTTCGATGTTATTATTCAATGAGCCGTTCAGCGTAGTCGAATTTTCGCAGGATTCGTCCAGAGTTATGCTAAGATAGTCGTCTTCGAGGGAGACGAAGACGCGATACCACTGACCTCGAACGTGAGTTTCGAGGATGCCAGAACGACCGTAGTAACCCGGAGAGGTAACACCGTCACATCCCCCTGACATTTTCACATATTTTCCCGTCGACGTGTTTCAATAAGTGCACCGATCATCCGTCCGCAAAACACCTGCACACTCTCTCGCACTTCATACGTTACTACTACCAAGAATATTGTTGTTTTTCGGGTTAGAGCTCTTTTACAGAAGCAAGGCCGTCTCCACGGATCCCCCACACGCTTCGTCGTAATGTTGACAAACACACGCCAGACTGGCCGACGTCGTCCTGTCTGAAATTCTCGTTAAAAGCGGCTTTCGCCTGGCACCCTCATTCCCTATGATTCGGCGCGCAAGGGAAACCCCCTCGCGCGTTTCCATGGATACAGCTATCCTTTAGAGCCCCTTTCCAAAGTCCTTTAATTTTGATTCACAACCCGGTTCAAGGTCATCTAGCTGCGGGCGGAAAACTCAGCGGAGCTGCAGGTCGGGTTCTCGACGAGGGTGAGGGTTGAATGAGGTTCGCCGCTGTAATTTTTACGTTTCCATTATCGTACACCGTAATCTACACTACACGTGAATGATCTCCGGCATTAATATTAATTGGGTTACCGTAGCGAACACAATTTTCTACCTGACGGTGTTTGATTCAGTCTAATATATGTATTTCGGGCCGCTACAAAATTTATGAATATTTATGAGACCGGCGCCAGCATTTTTTAAATTGTTTGGGGCTGTATACTAAAACTCCGAACGATCCTTTCTTCAATTAACGAATATTGTAATTGTTACGCAGTTAACAACCTTGCATAATTATTAAGTCATTATTGCACGCAACGTGAACACATGTGGATAGTGAATGGAGACGATGCCTACATCTTTCATAACGCGCATCCTTTGTCGACTGCTTGTCACATACTTAGCAGATGTACAATAATTTATTACTCCAACGTCTATTTTTGTATTGACATGCAATGACATTTAAAAGGAACGAAGAAACTTTCTCCTTCAACTCTGAATTAAGGATCCTCAGATTCTTTATAGTTTTGTATTGTTGTCCGTCCAACCACCCGCGCCAGAACTCTTTTTAAAAGTGGCCGATCGCGTTCAAATTTGGCGTACGGGTACTACGCTATTTATGTGATCAGGAAGCTGGCTCAACAGGAACAAAAAATATAGGACTTCGACTGAATCGGGAACAGGAAAAACTGTTGGCTCAATATAATAGAAATCAATATATTTTATTCCCTAGGTCATTTATCGAGTACGGACTTTCGCTAGTTTATTCCCTATGACTTTTGGATGTCTAACAATTCAAAATAGCTCTTCTCTGTGGTCTAGGCCAACAATTTTCGAGCAAAATGTACCCAACATTATTCTTTACGCATGTATTTGGAGTTGTAAAGGCTTTCAAACACTTAAAAAAAACGCATGATCTTGTACCTGTAACGTTCCGTTGAATGTACTCTGGTTTGTGTAACTGACTGAATGCGCTCCTTACTCTGTTGGAAGTAGTTAGTACCATTGGCATTTACATGACTTTCACTTTTGCTTTTGTCGTAGTAATGAGAAGAATTGCGAAGAATGTCGAATATTACGCACACAACAAGACCATACCAGGGAAACCTTCTACGGGACAAAAACCTCGGCATAGGCCACACATATACATGAAATAAATCACCTACAGCAATAATGTAAGAGAAAATACGCATAAATAAAACATCTCAAATTGCATGATTAAAATCAGATAATCCAAATCAAATGCAATTAAACAATTTCATAAAAACAAAATACACAAGACATCATAAATGCAGTGGAAAACATAATAAATCAATTCAGTACAAAAACACATCAAAATACCTGTACGATCAATTGAGCTAACACAACTCGTAAAATAATAAATTGCATATACATAGGAAACGTGTAAATGGTGTGGCTCTACTCCAGCCTTCAATTAACACAAGTTAATTTAACACCAAAAGTACATGTGAGAATGCCAATAGCATGTATTCGTGTGAAAATCGATTATCGCTCAAGCAGAGCATATTTTAAATAGAGGAAATGTTAATGAGAGAGCCTCTAAGTATCTCGCATTGCTAAGATGCCAAGAACTGCGATCCGCACGAGATGAGTAGGCAACAGATACAGTGAACGGTCGAACTGTATTAGGTACCTGCTCCACGGAGACAGGTTGAACCACTCACACACAGAAACATCAAGTAAGAGAGCCCCCCTTTTACTGATAATTTTACCACTGATAATCAACTCCTTGTGAATACAGAAATAACTATTTAATAAAACAAAATAATGGCATAATCACGTGTACAGTACAACAAACAAACATGATTCAGATAACGGTACTCCAAACAAAGGCATGATTGAATATCGGTAGTTTATGCAAAATCAGCAAAACGTAAATAATATCATACTGTGACAAGAAATTCAATGATTAATAGTTAGTACAAAATAGAATAAAATGGTTACTACCTGTAAATACACCTTCAAAACACCACAAACTAAATAATCAAGAAGAAAAACCAAGGCAAGCGCCATCTTCTTCATTCTGCCACGTTCGTTTTTCCCTTAGGTAGCTTCGTTATGAAAATCCCATAGTCTTCGACATCTGCGCAGAACGGTCGATTGGTTATATACAGAGCTTATCATATTTTTGTTTCAGATGTAAAGGTGTGTTGCCTAACCATAAGGGTGGATTATCACAACTGTTAAATTCAAATTCTACCCTACTGTAGAAGGTAAAACGAAACTGTAGTTACATCGTGCTATTAGGTTATACCTACAACGATATAATTTCGTCACGCTAATCTGGTCCGGCCGTCGGTCCGTTTCGTCCATGTTTGCGATTAGGGAAAAACGGATTAACTATACGCAAAGACTGTTAGGCTAGGTGCACACTTGCGATTTTCTGTCGCACGGTTGTGTAGTCACAAAAATAAAGCGAGGAACTCACAATACAATTAATTGCACGCACACGTGACGGAAAAAAAGCTGCGACTAATAGCGTTTTCGATTGGCAAAACTCGTACTGCACGAGTGTTGCACGAGAAACTGAAGAAATCCATGTGAAAATTGCTCTCAATGGAACATAAATATTCGTAAATATTTGCTGTCATTTGTCCATAACCTCATTTTAGATTTGTATTTATACAATGATTTAGGTAATCGACAAATCTGTATTCTAAAAAATGACTGAAACGATTTCACTATTATTTATGATAAACAATGAGGAATATAAATTTGAAATTCCTGTAAAGAACCAATTTTTGGCGTTCAGTTTAAATAGTAAATGCAACTTTTTGTAAAGTAGAAGTTATATGGCTAGTTCATCATCTTCGCTATCGCTAGATGACAACAAAAAACTCTCCAACGGAAGAAACAAATTCAAATTGTCGCACTTTTATTTTGAAACTTTGCTCCACGAGCTCTCCGACCTCGTGCGTCAAAATTTGCACTTAGTGCGTAATTGTTGCATCACATTTGCCAATGGAACACAGAAAATTGCCCTAAAATTACCAATAGAACGTAAAAATTGCACTCGTGCAGCACGACTTTTGCCAATCGAAAACGCTATAAAAAAGGTAATAAAAGTGTCGCTAGCAGTCTATAGAATATGAGTATTGTAGGATGGAGAGTTGAGATATCTATTTCTTCAAAAAATGACGTATTCCCCAAAACAGGATAAAAAATGTTTACTTATTCGAAAATTTTAATAGGAAGACGTCGGAAAGCAAGTGACACAGTTTTTGTGACGAGTCCATCTCAAGCAAGAAACGTTATAATTTCGCGTAAACTATTATACCGTCGCATCGCTAGAATTTATTATAATCCTTTCAACACATATGTTGAAACAGGGAGGTAGGCAACACATCATATCTAGCATCATACAGTTTATATAAAACGCTTTCTTGACGTGTTGCGCTTAATAAGCAAATGCATAGAACAAATTCTGTTTATCTGAGACATTGAATTTATAACTATCTGAGACTCGAATTCCAATAGGCAATATTACAACATTTCTAAGAAAATTTGAGAACCGGAATCCTAGTTTACAGAAAATCTTTCGTCAGAGATCATTTCGGATGCCATAGGAAATTCCTTCGTACAGGGTGGGTTTTTTCCAATGCGAAGGAAAAAGATTTCAGTAACAAGGACGATTAAATGCACGACTAATTCGTTATCACCGACAAAAACATGTTTTTGCATACTTGTATAAAATATTAATCTGTGTATTGATGACGGTTAATAATCAAATTAACTTGTGTTTCACATATATCGGTCAGGAATAAGATGGCTTCAGTTTCATGCGGCACTCGCCGAGAAAAGGCCTGGATTAGCGAAGACGAAAACCTTGTTGTACTCCGACTATTTCAATTCATTTCCCACCCCCGCTATTCACCTAGTTTGTGTAACGGGAGCCCGTCGTCTGAATTCTATTTGATTCCAATTTGCACTGTTTTTAGACTTAAATATGTGCAATTGCAAACGGTCACTGAACCACCCACATTAACACATGTCCAGTTACCTGTCCTTAAAAAAACTAAAACTTTACCGCAATGCCCTAAATAAAAATTTTGGCAATAAAGGACGTCTTGTCCTGCATCTACTATTATGAAAATCTCGATGAAGACTTAAATTTTGTTAAAACGGTAAACTCAGCAGTCTTAATCACCTCTTCACAATTCTAAAGAATTCTTTAACAAATTTCACGAGAACTCATACCCTGAATCATAATTTGGGCTCGATTAAACACACAGCTAATCATATTAACCAAAAAGACCCGTTTAACATTTAGTACGCCTATTCAAAACATTATTCCCTTCGACACCTTCTTAATCATTTTGATAACATTAATCAGAGGCATCAAATTTCCCCTTCTCATTATACTCATTATACACATGACCATACTAGTCAACTCGATCCACATAGCGGGATTTTTTCGATGGAAACCAAGTTTTACTGTGGTGGATATAGCGGTTTCCTCATTCACCCAGTCAAATGGACATTTGGAACCATCTTTTTTTCCATCGCATAACAGTATGTCTTGTACATAATCCGTCACTATGGCAGTCGGGGGGACTTTATGCTGATTAGGGGAACCTCGCCTACACAATTCCCAAGGAATTGGTAATGCATGAATTAGTTCCTTTATTTTTCCTATTCTGACTGGACTGTATACTGTATGCCCAAGTTGTTTAAGTTCACCGATGATGTCCTCAATGGGGATTGAGTAACGGATATTACCAAGCACGACTCGGTATGCCCTGTCCTGTTTCATTTGGTAAGTGTGGTGAATTATTTTATTACTGTTCGTATAACAAATAAATTTGATGGATCCTGTAGAAGAGCAAGAGTCTTACCAAATGACAGGTGCATACTAGAGGCGATAAAAGGCGTTAGAGGTTATAAGCGTTTTCAGGCAACTATTACTGTTGATTCTTCCATGCATTGATGAAAGTGATGGCTTGGATGATGATGAGGGGGGCAAGACTGTTGGATCTGGAAATTGAGAGTTTTAACTTAATAATGGGGGCATTACTGTTGCAGGAAAGCAGACTGTTACGCGGGAAACAGACTGTCGGGAGCGACGGCGAGACCAGAGGAAGTGAGGGGTATGGTGAACAAAGCGGCGTGGAGTAAGTAACATTATTTTAAAATTAATAATACCATCAGGAATTAAGAACTCCGTTAGATTTCTACCTGTTCCTGATGTAAAAAGTTTATCTGACTGAAGAACTGGAAGATCCCTTCCGGGGGATGATAGCAGGGTTGGAAAAACGCTGGCTGTTAAAACGTCAAAAATAAAAAATATATTGTTATTTATTTTAAAACAGAAGAACCACCTTCGTATTCCGGTAAGTGCCAGCGTTGGTGCCAGTTACTATTGGGGGTACTGAGGTTATGTCTGTTGGCGTTTCTGTTGTCTCGCTGTGTGCTCCCAAGGATTGCATTGGAAACTATAAATAAATGGTGATGGGATTTAAATATTATTTATTTATTTTCGCGAAATGCTTAATCCTAACGGCGGCGGCTATATTCTGTACACTGGATAGCTAGAAATACAGCACCATGAAAACCTAATTCATAACATTAATTTTAAATGGAACGGTTTTAACACTAGCAATATAAATACATGCATTCATTTCTTACACTACGGAAAATTACATTCTAGGTCAGTGCGTTCACATGTTATGCGCCAAATGCACCACGATTTTAGAAACAAAGTGCCTCAAATCCGCTTCTCTTAACTTTCCAACGTCGAGAACTTCACAGTGATTGGCTTCATCACCGCAATCATAGTCGGTGATGCACATGTTGGTGATCAGACTAAACGCAAAAACGGACATGTTGCAATGCCTCGCCGTAATAACTTCATGAACTGTCGACATACCAACCGCATCGACTCCCAGCATACCCAACATTTTTAGTTCAGCAACCGTTTCAAAACTAGGTCCACCGAGACAAGTGTAAACACCGTCGTGCACCAAATCGCCAAGTCCTTCCAACGCCGCAATCTCTTTCGCCTTCCTAACCAGTTGCTTATCATACGCCGTATTCATAGGTGGAAACCTGGGCCCGAAGCGCGCTTCGTTGGGTCCCTGCAACGGATTATTACCGGCGAAGCCCATCATGTTGATGTGATCCTTGACAAGCATAATATCGCCAACTTTGTAAGTCTTATTAAGTCCACCGGCCGCGTTCGTGGCGATCAAATGCGTCACGCCCACCATCTTCATAACCCTGACCGGCATCGCGCACTTCCACAGAGGATAACCCTCGTAGTAGTGGAATCGACCCTGCATGCACATCACGGGTACGCCGGAAAGGCGGCCGAAAACGAGCTGACCGGCGTGACCCTCCACAGTGCTGACCGGAAAATTTGGAATGTCTTCGTATGGAAACTTGATTGGGTTGCTTAATGCCTCGGCGAGAGACCCTGCAAACAGAAGATAACAGTATGTGAAGTAGGTCAACAACATGGGCGTTTTTACAGCTGTAATCAATAAACATTAACTTGAATAACAAATTGTTTTGAATTGCGCGCTTGGTTTTTTTCTGAATGAATTCCATGGATCTTTCTTCATAGTATCTCTGACGTACTTTTCTAAATTGTGAAAGAGAGCGATTGCCCGATTTCCTAAAGACGCATTTTGGCTTGAGAAGAACTGTGAAAAAAGCAAAAGAAAGAAAGTCGAATAATCTTTTCCGTTGACCATCACACTACAGTATGATATCAAGAATTATTTAGCGTGTGCTTTGCTCAGTAACAAGGACACGGTTAGAGTCAAGAAAAATTGAGCTTGTTTATTTCAGTGAACTATTACACAACGAATCCTTAGTTTTTTCCTTAGCGCAGAAAAAAAATTGTACGATTGTAGCATTTTATTGATCCTATCACCTAATTTTTTGGACATGGTGTTTCTTTCAAACCACCACGAACAAACCAAGGTTCATGCTAACTTTTCATAATGAATATTTAAACTGTAAACTTTAAATCGCATAAAAACAGTTTTATTATTTACTGTTACAGCTGATTGACTGTGGTGATAATAGTTCACCAAACTTATTCAAGAATAATCTAAATGTTTTACAATCACTCAATAAATGCCATAATCGCTAAATAATTTCGTTTACCAGTTCTGTTATTTAATGTAACACGGAGACGAGGGAAATTAAAGGCATGATACGCCTTTTGTGGGGTACACTACAGCTACAGTCACAGTCACCGCAATGAGTTCTGTAAATTACTCCATTTTATGTCATAGTGTGATAAAATTGTAATACAAAAGTCACTGGCAAAAGTAAATAATTAATCTGTTAAGCTAAATTTTAATGTAAAGTGAAAGCTACGTGCAAATGATTATGTATTCTGTTCAGTTAATCAATGCCAAATGAAAAGAAATTACCTTGCAGTGCAGCCTACGGTAACATTTGCAATTACAACTTTCATATTTATCAACTTAGTGTAACGTTCACTGATGTATATTAGGACGCCTACTTAACCTTTCAACGTATGAAATTGAATTTAGAACGCTGTGATCTAATAACTTAAACAAATGAATTGGAAGAACTCGATGAAAAGGAAGAAGATTTTTAAGCATCGGAAGGACTTACGCCGAAAGAAAACTTAAAATTTTTAAAAATTTGAAGGCTTTTCTGAGGAAGTTGACGAACCCGAAAAATAATTAAATATACTAAAAGAAAAGAATTGAAAGAATTCGAGAGAAAAAATTTGAAAAAAACCGAAAATCGGAAGAGTTTATAGAAAAATAGAGGGATTCGGATTCTAATAGTTAATGATAATTAAAACAGCTCCGAAATGCATGTTTTTTTGACTTTTTCAGAGGTCATAAAGTAAGTAAGTAAAGTTTAGATACTACGGCGCCGTTTTATTACAAATTAACATAAAGTCATTGTAATATAATTAAATTAGTAAAAAGGGTATTTCATTTTAGACTTTTGAGCCAATATGCAAATGAACTCCTCATTATATATAATTATCAAGTGCGGTAGATAGGTTAATTACTCCGTAACTGAGTAATTGTTGGGATTTACCCTGTTTACGAATGTGTACATTTCTTTAAACCAAAACTGACCATTTGATATTGTAATACCTGCTTTATTAGGTATTGCGCACGTCTGTCCGTCGGCCGTCCCGTCCGTGAACACAAATGCTTTTGCTATTATTTTGTTGAATGTTTATATAGGATATCGCATGACTTAAAGACTCGGACATCGCTTGAGGTCACCTACAGTCTATAGCAATATGGATAGCATAAGATCGATCTAGTAGAGAATTGAAATATCTATTTTTCGTTTCAAAGGACGGCCTATTCCCAAAAATCAAAAGATGTCCACATCGTTACTAATTCGTAAATTTTAATGGAAATAGTTCAAAGTGAATATCTCTAAACTCGAGTGTCGAAAAAGGTACTCTCGAAAAGAAAATTGACACTGTGGATAAGACGTACATTTCGGTATACTTTTAAAGTTTGTGGGAAAAACCATAATCCCAAGCAAGCAGCATGATAATTTCTCATAACCGTTGCAAGTATTTATTTTTGATTGAACTAACCCCTTAAATTGAATAGCTGGTGTTTTTCAGTGAAACGTACTCTTGATTTAAATTTTATTTAAAAAAAGTGATTTTTGATCTTTAAACTTTAGGGATCATTTTGTAGGTTAGGCGACATTTTGGAATTTAAAAGGAAATCATGGAATTATTTTGGAATTCATGGAATTATTTTGGAATTCATGGAATTATTTTGGAATTCATGGAATTATTTTGGAATTCATGGAATTATTTTGGAATTCATTTGAAGTCCTTTTATTGAGTTTTACATAATTTTCTAGAATTGAAACGAGTATGTCTTATCGTGACTGTACATGTATGTTTTGCACGCGACTAAAATCATCTCATCCAATGATTTTGAATGGAAATATCGTATTAAAATAGTCGATGTGTTTTTGAAATTGATTAATGTACGCATTTAAAGCGAAATTTCTTGAACTATTTAGCATTGTAAATAAAGCCAAAGAAATCTTGATCAGTTTTTGCCCGTAAGTCAAATGATGCCATACATTTGTGTTATTGTATTTCATGAAAATAATTCCGGGCACTTTTTACCATTGCAACCAAAGCCAAAGAAATCATCAAGGGTTTGTAACGAAGGGAGACGAGGCGGCGCAGCCGCTCAAGTACAGGCTATGTTCTCGTGTTGATTCAAATGATGACATCAACATCACTCTCCTTTGAATTTTTTATGACTATACCTACAAGCCACAATCTTATTTTGTATAAATGCCAAATGTGATTAGTTTTCGTGGCTTCTGAATATTTGAATACTGGAATACTGTTATGTAAAGGGTCTCGAAACTATTTAAATATTATACCCCTATATTATACAGGCTCTTTCTTAATAACATGCTAATATTTAATGAGGTGATTTTTCGACTCATTTTAAGAAAATAACTTCCTAACAACGTTGTTTAGAACGTCATAATTTTTGAGATACAGCGTGTTAAATTTTTAAGAAAAAATCACATTTTTGTCGTTAACATACCACTTTAAATATTTTTATGAAATTTGATGTACGGCATTTATGCATGAAAGAGCATTTTTTAATTTCGAACAGAGGCGTCGGTACTGGACTCAGACTAAATATTTTTGAAGGAAAAAGTGGTAAGCCACTGCTTTCTTTTAAAATAAAAATTATGTTTGGATTCCTCATTCAATTTATAACCAATTTCATTCATTTGCATGCTGTTTTGAAATTTGGCAGTAATAAAAATTAAAAACGATTTAGTAGGTAATAAGCGGATTTTGTTTTATTTGGCAAATACTTTTGACAGTTGCCTACCTCGTCTAGTTGTCACGTATTTAAATCACGTACGAAAATGACAGTAATGACAGCAAAACTTTTAACTCCCTGTATCTCAAAAGTTAAGACGGTTTGGACATACGTCCATAGGAAGGTTTTTTCTTAAAATGGGCCCATAAATCACCCCCTTAAATATTAGCATGAAAGAGAAAAACTCTGTATAATGAGACAAGTTATATCCTATCCAAAAGCGTCTGAGCTCAAATCATGAACTCTTAACCCTAAATAAATCCCGCACATACCCCTATATACTACTACAATGAGACAGGTTATGCCCTGGCCAAAATGGCAGGAGCCTGAGCTCTACCCATATTCTTCGTACCGTTAAACCTTGGTGTGAATGTCGAACTCTGTTACATAACAGCCTTCGAAACTAATTTCATGTCCGTGAAAAAGGGTGACACAATACTTTACGAGTATGTAGATACGATTATGAGGGAGATAACATTCCCCGATGTTGTCGTACGGACTGAAAGCTAGTATAATGTGAAATTGTAAAATGCAAATTGGAAAAGAAAGTAAGAGAGTACATGTCCTGGAAGGTTTTCAATAGCTCCTTTTCCTTCCTTGTAATGAATGAAGTCCCTAGAGCTATTCTCGTGAGATTAATGGGCATTTTTACCGACAAGTTTAAGTTGAGCTTAGCTTAAGCAGAGCTTAAGATCAATGACAATGCTTAATAGCTCAGTTTAAATTTATCGGTGCAAATGGCCATAAGAGGGGGCAACTCTGAATTGAATTTAGAGTTTATTGTTTTGGCGGGAGTTTTGCTTTTTGGTTTTGAGTTGCGCAGTCGCTTCTCGGCTGAACCAAGGCATTTCAAACGGGCGATTTTGTTTTAACTAAATTCAGATGATGTGGAGTTCAACTCAAAAATGATAGTCAAAAAGTTTTAGACTTAAGACATATACTCCATAAGAAAGCAAGTTTCAAAATATAAATTTGACACAAGTGGTGAAAGCGACGGTTATCCTGAACGCTTAGTCGTTTACTAATATGTTATAATCAAGTTCGAAAATTGGTGGTTTTTATCAGTTTTTCTTAAATATTTAGAAAACTATACGGTTAGTCGCGAAAAGTGTCGTGTACAAAAATAATCTACAGTAAATTGTGAACAAAAATGGTCTTGTGTATAATCCTGCTAAAGTGAACGGTTCCGGAGGGTGTAAAAATGGAAATTTTTCGTTTCTTTTAGATATTTTTGGAATACTCATTTTTTGTAAAAGCAAATTCCGGTTTAGTGGCCGGTAATATGTTAGTGATAAGCCCTTGAAGGAACGACAACCTTATCACTTTCTCAACGAGCCCTACTTTTAAAGTTTTTAAAGAGCTTTCCACAAGTCATCACCTCAAACTCGCGTACGGTCGGTCGGCGGCGGTAGGACGGCTTGCTTTCATCACGTGTGAGTTGTAAAAATAAGAGAGAAATTTCACAACACGAATAATATTGAAATGCCAAGATTGGGCCTATGTTGCGAATTTAGTGTTGGGCGAACGATTTTATCACCAATATTGCACCGATGTGGTGAAACAATGTTGTTTCCATATAGGGCCAGTCTTGAATGAACAAACACTGACCAAAACATGGCGGCCCATCATTGGTCCAATCTTAGTCAGTATATGCTGGCACTATCCAGTATTGCCAATATTGTATTAACATTGCCAATATTGTCTTAACATTGTCAATATTGATCCAACGTTCACATATTGGAACAATGTAGCACTATATGCGTTTCATTTTTCCAGAAAATCAAGAAACTTGAAAAATTTCTTGTTTTACACCCTCCTGAAATCATTCACTTTGGAGTTGGAGGGATACTTTTACTTTAGATGTTGAGGTTAGGCCGTTTTTTGGACTAATAGCACCGTACTATACATATGTCCAATATGATAATGGCAATCACAACTTACATATTTTATTTTACAATAAAAAATTACACGGATACTGTGTACGTCCATATACTTAGTCGCCTCACTTTTTGTTAATGCAATAATTTTTGAAAAGGTTCCAAGAATACCCTAAGAGCCTAAGATACACATAAGAGAAAATGCATTACAATCAATTTCAATTTTACCCTAAGAAGATTTTAGATGATTCAATGAAGATTTATTTCTTAGCCTAAATTACACGTAGTATCAATGTTTTTCTTTCAACTTGATCCTAAGATCCTAACAAGAGAGTTCTATGGAAATTACAACATAACACAGATAATGGTTGTAACAGATTTTCCCGTGCCTTTGGGTTGGCCATTTAGAATTTTGCAAAGAAATCTTAGGATCCCGCACCCCTATTCGAGGAAGAAATTGGCTACTTCCCCGTTTAGAGGAGTTAATAGGGAGTTTTTTGTCGTTCAATGTCTTTCAGGCATATTTCCTGTAGCAGGAATAACTGCAGTTTGCTTCTTCTGATTTTTACACATCCATTAATTAATATTCGACCAATCAGCTCACCAATCCGACGATTTTTTAAGTGATTAAAAGCTAGGTAGGGAAAGCGTAAAATATAGTGGTTGTCAAATTTACCCTCTTGTAATAATCTGCTTAAAATACACTCGATCTTGGTTTTAAATCATAATTTTATTTTTAATTCACTTAAATTTTGTTGCCTCCTGGAAAAAACTCTCGATCAAAACTCAAAAGCATAAGATAAAATTTATCACGCTTTTGATTTCTAGTTTTTTTCCGTTGCAACAAAACTTTCGTGTAAAAATAAAATTATCCGATTAAAAATCAAGCTCTTGTGTATTTACCCCCGAGAAAACCTGCCAAAAATGTAAAGCGAAGTAGTGATTTCTTCCTCTTCCTGACGAGAGAAAAGTGCTTGGTAACAAAACATTAAGCGCACGATACTGGGATGAGAATAAATGTCAGATAGCCGACGAGAAAGAATGTTGAAATGCATTCCAAAAGATGAAAATTTTCCTTTGTTGCATTGATCAGATATCTGTTTGAAGGGAGCATAGCTGTATCAGTACATTGTCACGTATTCTGAAGTTATCTTCTTTCCATTGATCAATTAGATAATCTGGCCAAAATTTCACATCACTCATTACAACCAGAACATGCAAAGTACCTTTAAGTGTAACCACAACGCTTCTAATAAATGACCTTTTTACTAGCTTTTATCATAAAGGTTAAGCAACAGACCGATACGCATTACTTTCGTAATTACCGTAATTTACATCAATGGCAATGCTATTTGCGCAATCAAAGATAAAAATTCTTGCAATTGGATCTGGATGCTGCTTTATTTAGTTATCGTGATAGAAAACTTCCTAATTGATTTAGTTCAATTACTTAAATAAATAAAAAAAATATATACCCTCGTTCCAATACGCACCCATTCCCGAACCACATATTATCCCAATGCGTGGCCTGTAGGGCACTCGGTCCAGAAGGTACTCGGCTATGTTCACCACCGCTTCGTAGCTGTACCTACAAAAATATGGGATTCCGGATATCAGCGTCTTTGAAATTTCACTGCACTTACACGTTGTTGTTGGCGTAATATTGGTCGTTGGATGTTTCATTTTCGACAGCGAATGCGTGCCCATTGCTGGCGCCATTCAGGAGTCTCTTTTTAAGTTCACAGGTGCCGTTCATTTCAGTGGACAATACTAAACCTTGACTGTGAAAGCAAGCTAAACGATTCGTGTGAGCAACTGAGTTCACACTGCGCTGCTCATTCTTATATGGTCTGATGGCATCTTATTATCATTTAGAAAAAGTTACAACATCAATAACGATATTCCACGCTTAAAATAAATTGCTAATTACGTCAATTCCACTGGCATTAAAAATTCCCGTAACGTTGCGTGCGCGTAATTGTGTTTTTAATTTTGAAGTAAACCTGGTGCAGATTTCGGAAGACACGCTGGATTTGGCGAAGAAGGCATTTATTGTATACCTACTGCGTAGGTAATTTATTACGAAGAAAACATGCTTAAGGTCAAGTGCATTTAAGTAATATCCCAAGAAGAGGGTGGGAGCGCCTAGTGTGTAAAGTGTATCTTATCTAGTAAGTTTTGTTATCTTTGAACAAAAACACTTTTTATTCAACGGTTCTATGCAGTACATTTCCCAGATGGGAAATGAAAAAGTATGACTCATTAAAATTGGAGATCCAGCGACGGATTATCTACAAGACACAACATGGGCTTAGGAGCCCAAAAAGTTAGGAGGCCTTAGATGACATTGTAACTAGTAATGAAAGTATAAAGGTAGCATGCACCAGAGATTGGTGGACGTGATGAAAGTTTAGAACAGTTCATTTCCAGGGGTGGTTTAAGGTTTTTTTGCATATGCTAACCTAGGGCGGCCAAAAACATGGGCATTTCACTTATACTGCAAAAAATGTCTAACGAATTTAACAACGAATGTTTACATTTCTTGAGAGTACTAGGACCAAGAGCAGACAACTTTTTGGATTTGATTTTTCATCAAATTTTGTGATTTTGATTTGATAGACGCTCGACCTCATCTCGCTCAAATACATACAGGGTGAGTTTTTTCTCACTTCCGCTATAGGGATCTCTTAAACCGTAAGGGATACACTGTCGATTAAATGGGCAAAGTTATGCAGAATTTTATGCTGAGAAATTATCCTATTCATAATTTCTTGTAGTTCTACAAGTAGCTAATTAACTAACACTCCGCCCACTATAAAATAAAGACACTAAAATAAAATTAAAAAAATGACCAGAAAACCGAAAAATGTCATTTTCGAAAATGCGCTGGCTATAAATCCGGAGGTCGGGTGTTCGAACCTGGGTTGAGGCGAATTTTTCATCTGGGGCAGAGATGGGAATTAGAATTAACCAGTTTCGAGCATTCTGCCGGCTACTCCGAATTACGTTTTCTTGCAGATTTCCTAATTCGTAAGGTAAATACCGGAGTGGTATAGAACAACTTAAGACCTTCTACAGAGGCACCTCTAAAAAGCATTATGTGGGTGATTGGGCGCTAGTCCTCTGGCTGACCAGGACTCTGTATGCAATTTGGTGTATAGAGCATCGCCCATTTTTTTCTTGAAGAGGACCATTAGGAGTTCCAAAAAAAAAGTGGGTGGCCGTTCCAACTCGAGTTATGACGTCATATGCATTAAATTCGCGGTTTTACCTAAATCATTCATACTAATCCACAAATGTAGCTGCAGGCCCAGCAAGTTGCATATCAAAAAGGTGTTTATTAGAACTAGTCAAATGTAATCGAATATTATTTAGTTGTTGTCACTGGTTCGAGATATGACGTCATAATAGCTGGCTGGCTGGCAGCTAATGCGGGCCCGTAGACGAACGCTTGCAGAAAGCCGAAGAGTGAACCGGGGCCGTGTAATTAACAACTTTAGGAACGGGGCTACATGATGTGGGCTGGCGACGTCTGGGCGCCATCTCCGAGTGTGGTGTACTAAGTGGAGATTTTTCAGTTTTTTTCCGATTTTGGTCCGATTGTTTCCAAATTGGTGTCATCGGAATCTTGTACCACTCCTTCCGTGATGGAATTTTGTTTTTTCTCCTAGGGGTGAAATTAACCAGCTTTCGCAAGGCGCGCGTCTTCGAGACGTAGTCGACTTTGGGCGTGCAAAAGTTTCTAGAGCTCGAATCGCGATTTCTTTTTCTCGTATCGCCAGTAGAAGCTTGAGCTATGAGAAGGACCCCAAAAATTGGGTACTATTTTGTGGAGGTTTTTTTAGCGAAATCCATTAACGTGCGATTTGCAGGTGAACGGGACGTCGGAAGTGGGTACAAACACAGGGAATGTGATAGCCTTCGAAAACATCTGATTGACGGTGGAGTCAAAACTGATCTTCTACACAAAAATGCGCTGAAGTCTCTTCGATCTCACAGCAGAACTTCGATAATTTTTTTTTAATTCGACGTCGAAGATGGCCATGACAAGCTCATTCTGAACACACAAACATTACGTTACAATAATTTGGAGACGAGTTTGGAGATGTATCACAAGCTGTTTAGTACTAAAGTTGAAATCTCCCAAGAAAAATAGATTGATTTAAAACATTTCGAAATTTTATCCGTACTACCCAAATTATGGAATAAAAATCGGTTTTCTAGCTGTATACGGAGTGTTCCAAATAAAAGTAACTACATGGATATCGTGAGAAAAAGACTAGGTAAAAAAATTCGTTAACGTCATTCGATTGGGTGTAGTCGCTTGTAGCTCCCGATGAAAATTTAAAATTTTTAAATATTGTGTCTTTCAACAAATTGAAACAGCGTCGTCGTATACAAACGTTAGGTATAACATTTACTAGTTGCGTCACATATACAGGGTGTTACATATATGTATGTAAACAAATTGGGCGGTAGAGGGGATCAAAACAATCACTTTTTCCAAATAAATTGAGGGTCCAACGTGTTTCGTTTGGGAGCCAACCTCATAAAAGTGGTAAAGTAATCATTTATGACGTCATATCTCGAACCAGAGACAACTAGAGTAATCTCAAAATGAGAAGTACATCGTGACGTCATTTGCGCAAAGCATGAAAATATGCCCGAGAGAGTCCTAAGGGGAGCGCGCGCGTTGACATTTGTGCATTGCCTCACACAGCAAATGTACTTTCAAACCTCAATTTAAATACCCTATGATACGCCACTAGTGGCAACAATACGCGCAGAAAGTGATGACGTCACGATGTACTTCTCATTTTGAGACTACTCTAAATAATATTCGATTATATTTGATTAGTTCTAATAAACACGTCTTTCATTTTATGTGCAACTTGTTGGGTCTACAACCACATTTGTGGATTAGTGTGAATGTGAATGGTTTAGTTTAGATGAAACCGCGAATTTAATGTATATGACGTCATAACTCAATACTTACCACGAGTTGGAACGGTCACCCAATTTTTTTTTAAGTCCTAATGGTCCTCTTCAAGAAAAAATGGGTGATGCTCTATACACCACATTGCATACAGCGTCTTCTGGTCAGCCAATGGACTACGCGTTGAGGGCCCAGAACAAGAAAGAGATAATAAATAAATAAAACATTATAAAACTATAAAGGTGCGTTTCGAGTGCACAGAGTTTTCACCGATGTTTCAACATTTTTAAGGGCAAATCACACGTCGAACGAAAAGTCGATTAGAGGTAGTCTGAGTTTAATAGTCCCTAAGCTAATAACGAATTCTGTTGCTAACGTACGACCTTTGGTAAGAAATTTATAGCTCCCGTAGGTCCCACGTTAACTGTTGTAATTTCCAGACTTCTGTATCTAAAGTAGTTTAGTAAAAATGCATAAGTAATTTAAACATTTGCTGTTGCTAGCACAGTTACCACCTGCATACCTGTGCACGCGCGATTCTGCCCTTTTATGTTTAAAAATATGTGCACCAAATTTGGTTCCAATTGGTTCAGCCGATTAGGTAAAAATCAGAGTTTTAACACACTTGCGCGTGCGCGATTCTGCCCAAAAGCTTTTCAGCTATTCTTTTAATATATACCCAAGAATATGTATACAAACTTTGGTTCCAATCGATTCAGTCGCTTAACCGGAAATGAGAGTACAGGAAGACAACAGACAGACAGACAGACCGGTAGACCGATCAACATCATCGAGATTTTTTGATTCGGATTCTTGAGGCTTGAAAACGTGTATTTCCGTCAAAATTATTAATATTCTGCCGGCTACTCCGAATTAGGTTTTCCTGCAGTTTCCTAATTCGTAAGTTAAATACCGGAGTAGTATAGACCAACTTAAGACCTTCTGCAGAGGCACCTCTAAAAAGCATTATGCGGATCACTATGTAATTGGGCGTAAGCCTGTTGAGGTCCCAGAACAAGAGAGGGATAATAAATAAATAAATAAATAAATAAAATAGTGGAGGGTGGGGGGGTGATTTTTTACAGATCGAAATGTTTTTTGACGGAATGTGAACCCTGTACTTTTCCGGATTACTAATATATTAAATTTATTTTCGAAAAAAGAAAACTTAACTTAAATTTTTTCCGAAAAAAACATTAACTATATAGAAAATGGAAAACACACGGCACCAATCGGAATACATTTGAGAAAGAATAGCGATTGATAGGTTCGAATCGGTCGAAAAATGTGACCTGTGGAGGAAGCAAAGCCATTTTTTTGCTAAAAATGTAAGTCAATGTGAACTAAATGAACCAACACCATTCACAAAACTGAATCATATTTTGGCCTGGAACATGAAAAAAAGACGGGGAAGGTTATAAAGAATATAGTGTACCTAAAGTATAGTGGAATTCAATTAATTCAGTTGATACTTATGTTTGTATTTTGTAGATTGTTGTTGATATTTTGGATAAATCATATCAAATTGTTTCATTTTGTGAATATGCCTCTCTGATATAAATAATTGCATTCAAGAAATAATCTTCACAAATATAACACGACCTTGATTAATAAGCGACTATTGTGATTGCTGCTAAATTTCTCTTGTATTTATTAATTTGACTCGACATAATTTTGGCGTTAATAATCAAAGATGAAAGCCCGAGAGCGAAGATTATTAACGCCAAAATTAATATGTCTCGTTAAATTATTATAAAATACAATCGAAATTAAGATGCAATCAAAATAGTCGACTATTTATCAAGGTCTTGTTATATTACCCTTGAAATTTATACATTAGACAATGTATTGATATATAACGGGTCGTAATAGTTATTTATGTATTAAGGGCATAATAGTGATGTTTATATTCTCGAGGGCGACGAGTTAAAAAGCTCAAGGCCCTATGGTCCGAGAGCTTTTTAGTCGCCCGA